CTGTCTGTCTGTCTGTCTGTCTGTCTGTCTGTCTGTCTGTCTGTCTGTCTGTCTGTCTGTCTGTCTGTCTGTCTGTCTGTCTGTCTGTCTGTCTGTCTGTCTGTCTGTCTGTCTGTCTGTCTGTCTGTCTGTCTGTCTGTCTGTCTGTCTGTCTGTCTGTCTGTCTGTCTGTCTGTCTGTCTGTCTGTCTGTCTGACTGACTGACTGACTGACTGACTGACTGACTGACTGACTGACTGACTGACTGACTGACTGACTGACTGACTGACTGACTGACTGACTGACTGACTGACTGACTGACTGACTGACTGACTGACTGACTGACTGACTGACCCTTATAGACTCGGAAACTACTGAACCGATTGGCGTGAAAATTTGTATGCAGGGGTTTTTGGGGCAGGAAAAGGTTCTTATGATGGTTCGAGACCCCTCCCCCTCTGTAAAGGGGGTCTCCCATACAAATGAAACAGAAATTTCTGCATAACTCGAGAACTAATCAAGCAAATGGATTCATTTGGCATGTGGAGGTCATAGGGAGTAGTCCCTTAGATAAAAAGGGGGGGAGGCTACGTAAAATATAGCTTTTTTAATTGGCGCATAAATTCAAGCTTATATTGAATGCCGAGCAAGGCACACTCAGCTAGTTTTAAATAAATAAAATGTTGACTAGAAAGATTTGACTTTTGAAGTCAGGGTTACTTTAAGGTTCTACAAAGGGTAAATAATTTGTCTACTTCTACTTTTTGAAATATTCTTCGATCATCATTTCTAAATGTATTGGTAAAATTCAATGTAAAGTAGGACTATGTGTCATTTGTTAACTTCAACAGGAGTTTGTGTTTTGTACTATATATAGGAAAAGGAATTTGAGCGAGGTTCTCTCTGTTTATACTCTTTTGTATGACTACGATTACCCTGAAAAGAACATTTTGATATGAATTTTAGTGGGGACATGTTCAGAAATTTAACTCTATTGTAAAATTTTGATGGCCCTGCAAAAAAGGGCCGATGGTAGTACAGACTTAAAGCCTTTCGAAGATTATGATGACGTGTAGGCGTGTTCAATGATTGGGCACGAGACTGATGCAAAATTTGACTTTTTCGCTCCACAGTGCTTAAATGGTTGCAAATCGGGTCCTGATTAGCCTCCCAAAGTTACAACTCATTTGGTTAGAAACAGACTTCGCACAAGCCATTTGAAGTTTGCATGTAAATTACTATGGGAAATCTCAACTTTTTGTTCATTGCCTTTTATTCTTTTTCCATATTGAGCTGCGAAACAGTTGGATAGCCATTCTTATAGAAAATTTTCTCAGCTACAACTTTGCTCAAGATCGTTTCTATGTAAAACGAGACAGGAAAAAGTTATTAATTATTTAAGAGATTGGTTAACTTATGACATGATCAAGCAGCTGCTCTGTAGGCAACACTGTATTTTGCAGTGTGACATAGTAGCCATGATTCTTGTGCCCTATTCAACGCCCCAGAAACACCAATGTTGCCTGCTGAGCAGTTGATTGAGCATGATAAGACATCAGCGCATTGAACCATTGATAACAATCTATCCTTGCATTTAATCAAAAAGTGGTCATCAGCAAAGTTGTAGCTACAAGTACAATTGAAAATTTTTGAAACAGACTGATATGGTGGACTATTAGATAGACATGAACAAAAATCTTGGTTTTACCATAGTAATTCCCATACAAACTTCAAACGGTTTGTGTCATCTCAGTTTCTCACCAAATGGGTTCAAATTTTGAGAGGTTAGTCAGGATCCGATTTGGAATCGTTTAAGTATTGTGGAGCGAAAATTTCAAATTTTGCATCACTCTATTGGACACTCGCAAGTGTCTCGGCCCGTCTGCTGCTGAACTGGTGTCTGCGACAGTTTGAAAGGCCGCAGAGTATCAGTGTCCACCCAGCTAAAGATCCTCCCCTGTTTAGTTTTTCTCGTTAAATCCCTTCTCTCAACAAATTGGTAAATCTTAGCCTTTAGCAGAAAAACGCTTAACACTTTTTTTCGGCTATTTATGATCCTGTTTACGTCATGGTTCTTCTCTATGCCTGTTCAGATAAATTAGTACTTTTATTTATTTTCTCTACTGCGCTAAAGGGTGTCCACGATGAAATTGCCACACACAAAATTGATTCGCAAAATTCGAGTTTTCATCCGATTGCCATCAAATTTTCAGGGATTGAGAAATAACTATTAAACTTCATTTTACCATTTTACTCGTATTTTATTTACAGTCCATACGCAAATGCCCGCACCTTGGCCTTAACCCCAGCCATAAGATTCTGCACAACCTGTGAATCAACCGTTTTTTGCATGTAAACCCATACTTTCTTCAGTTCCTCGACTGTCTTCACTACCTTAGGTCGTTTAAGAAGGTGCTGCTTCATAATCGCCCAGTACTTCTCGATGGGGCGGAGCTCCGGAGTGTTGGGAGGGTTGAACATTTTCGGCACGAAATTGACCTTATTGTCCGCATACCACTTCAGCACGTCCTTGGAGTAGTGGCATGAGGCCAAATCCGGCCAGAAGATTGTTGGGACGTTGTGGGCCTTCAGGAGAGGAAGCAGCCGCTTCTGGAGGCACTCTTTTATGTACACCTGTCCGTTCATCGTGTCCTGGGTCACGAAAGGTGCACTCCGCTTCCCGCACGTGCAGATGGCTTGCCAAACCAGGAATTTCTTCGCAAATTTGGACATCTTCTGAGTGCGGACATGCTCCGGAACGGTGAACTTATCCTTGGCCGTGAAAAACAGGTTGCCGGGGATCTGTTTGAAGTCAGCCTTCACATATGTTTCGTCGTCCATGATGCAGCATTCAACTTTCGTCAGCATGTTGAGGTACAACTTCCTGGCACGGGTTTTGGCGGATCCTTGTTCTCGTGATGAATGCGCAAGATTTTATCACGCACGAGCTGTTCTTTCGACTCCATTTCTGCGAGTTTTGATCACAGGACTTTAAAACTTGCAGAATGTAAATAATGCACTATGAACTAAATCCACCCAAATTTTCATTAAATTCTACCCAACGGTTAAAAAGTTAGAGCAATTTCATAGTGTGGCAATTTCATCGTGGACACCCTTTATATCAAACGAGTAGAAAAAGAAAGGGATGTCGGTTACGCGCTCGAATAATTGAAAATGCGATAAATATTTTACCGAATAGCTGGAATTTTTTTTACGATTAATCGTTCATCGAATAATTGGACTTTTAGGCATCCCAGGAAAAAAGTGTAATTTCATGTTTCTTGGTGGTCCTTCGAAAATGTCGAACAGCAGAATTGCAACCAGCAAGTGTAACCTTAGAACCAAAAGCATAGCTCTATGTCGATGACTGAATTAAGAGGTGAAAGTCAATTCTCTTCATCGATTTCCCCTTTGGATGACCATGGCTTCACTAACCACTATTTCTGCTATGCTCTTCTATCATCCAGAACAACAAACGTAATCGAGCTATTAACAAAACAGAAAGTCGGTGAAGAGAATCGATCAAAATCACTTGCACCACTGCTTCCAAGTTTGGCTACAAGATTGCAACTCTGGAGAGCATTTTGTGTGGTTTTTGGGGGCGTGTGGTTCTGAATATGGCAATGAGTGTGCAAAATGTTACGCAATTGCATCCTCCGAAGATCGGAGGCGAATGCCACTTCGACCTGTTTCGTGTACTAATGACTCTCTGGAGACAGTGTTGGGGATGCACCAATGCTACATCGACATGTTTCGTCTAGAAACGATTCTCTGATGACTATGCTGGGGAAGCAGCATACAAGAGTCTCACGGTGGATAAGGATTGTATAGAACATGGGACAGTTATGTGTATAACGGCAGCATATGCATGTACGTAATTGGTGGATTTGTTAGTTGTTTTGACGCTTTTGGACAATGCTTGACATTTACCACTTTTTCAATAGTTTCTTGTTGGAAATCAACTGTCAAAAGCATTGTCGATGCGTAGGAATATTTCTGATCGATTGGTGATAAAATTACTGAAATATGTCCAGGGGCAGCTGAGTAATTAACGTTTAAAATCTTTCATAATTTCGTTACATGTTCCATTTTTGGTTTTCACAAAGTGTACCCCCATATAGAAATCACAGACGTAGTCCTACGTCAAAAATCAAATTGCCAGAACTCGCTGCATGAGATTGTGTTTACACTGCTGATGATGGTAAGCTCCAACCGGTATTATCCTCGGATTAAATCCTGATCACGAATGTCAAGCTGCTATGGTGTCGATGTCGATGTTAATCAATACGATCCTTAGCAAACATTTGGCATACCCTTTAATTAGGACCGGTATGAATTGTTGATCCGAGTTGGAGCTTACCGCCATGAGAGGGAAAGCGAATCACAGGTTACGTGCATTACTGCCATCTTTCCTGTTAGAATTTTATTCAATATTCTGTGACTTTTTGTAAAATGACTTAAATGGTCGTATTTGTTTTATTTATTCAGTTTTTGATATTTATTCACCAATGAGTCAAACTTCGCGATTACTTGTTTTTTAATAAACTTAAATTCATTGCTAGAGGCAATCCATCTGGCACCGCTGTTTCAATGATACTTTCATGATTGCTAGCAAAGCAAAGTTGGAATGGTTTTCTTTGTGATAAATTTTGTTCACCAAGAGTTTTTTCAAGCAGTCGTTTTGAGTTTCATGTATTCGGTTGCGTTTAATTGTGCTATACATCGAAAAAAAAAAGTAAGTAAATACAGTGAATGTGTTTTACCCAGGAAATTTTCGATCTAAAATCATGAAATTCATGATCTAAATTTTCGTATTCATAATGTATGGATGTATGTGTAAACTTAAAAAATATAAGTAGAACACAAAATTACCTATCCTTTGTAGAACTATTAACTATTAATTAAATTATCGTACCAAACGCATAATTGACTTGTTAACTCTGAAATCATGCATTTATTTAAAGTTTTCTGCTCGATAGGCCCAAAATGGGCGATTAGGCCGAAGTAGTTATCTACAAATCGTGTGTGCACGCCTTCCAGTAAAGGTCGCTAGAAGTCGCATTTGTGCTCTCGTATTTGGTGAAGTAATATTCAAACCGCAAACCTATCAACATGACTACCTATTTCAATTACCCACCAAAGGACGTCCAGAATGAGCTGGTCCGCATTGCCAAGGCCATCGTTGGCCCCGGCAAGGGTCTCCTGGCTGCCGATGAGTCGACCGCCACCTGTGGCAAGCGTTTCGCTGACATTGGTGTCGAGAACAACGAGGACAACCGTCGCCAGTACCGTCAGCTGCTGTTCACCGCCGACGACCGTCTACAGGAGAGCATCTCCGGTGTTATCCTGTTCCACGAGACCCTGTACCAGAAGGCCGATGATGGCACTCCGCTGACCCAGATGCTCAAGAAGAAGGGCATCCTGTCCGGAATCAAGGTTGACAAGGGTATCGTCGATCTGATGGGATCCGAGGGCGAGTGCACCACCCAGGGCTTGGACGACCTGGGCGCCCGTTGCGCTCAGTATAAGAAGGACGGCTGTGATTTTGCCAAGTGGCGTTGCGTGCTGAAGATCGGCAAGAACACCCCCAGCTACCAGTCCATCCTGGAGAACGCCAACGTGCTGGCCCGCTACGCTTCAATCTGCCAGTCGCAGCGCATCGTGCCGATCGTTGAGCCTGAGATCCTCCCCGATGGTGACCACGATCTGGAACGTTGCCAGAAGGTCACCGAGACGGTGCTGGCTGCCGTGTACAAAGCCCTGAGCGACCATCACGTCTTCCTGGAGGGAACTCTGCTGAAGCCGAAAATGGTCACCGCCGGACAGAGCTGCGCCAAGAAGCCGTCCTCCCAGGAGATTGCCATGGCCACCGTGCGCCGCACCGTGCCAGCCGCCGTGACTGGAGTTACCTTCCTGTCCGGTGGACAGTCCGAGGAGGAAGCCTCCGTCAATCTGAATGCCATCAACCAGGTGCCACTGGTGAGACCGTGGGCCCTGACCTTCTCGTACGGTCGTGCCCTGCAGGCCTCGGTATTGCGTGCCTGGGGAGGCAAGAAGGAGAACGTCAAGGCCGCTCAGGATGAGCTCATCAAGCGTGCCAAGGCTAATGGATTGGCATACCAAGCAAAATACGTCGCCGGTTCGATTCCCTCGTACGCCGCCACTGCCAGTTTGTTTGTAAAATCGCACGCTTACTAGAGAACGAGAGCACCCCGAACAGCTGCGCTGGGTCACTGCAACTACTACAGCGACTTATATGCTGCACTGCATGCACAAACACATTTACAGAAACTCACACAAGCAAAATAACATCCAAATAATTCCAGCGGCAGCTGCAGCTTTGTCGTCGTCGATCGAATGCATTAGTTGTAGTACAGAGAGCAGTGCAGAAGGAAACATTCCTATTGTTTTTTTTTGTATCCACACAACACTACCACTTAAACACTACCTCCTTTTTTAAGTCCAAACACCAGATGGAACTGTTGGGCGTTATTTATAACGCACACGTAGGATTTAGGCAGGAGAGAGCAATAGGACTAGTAAGCGCATTTGCAGGGGAAAAAGAGGAAATCTGAGCCGCGGTGAATCTTCCAATAATGAGTTGTGTTTTTTGTTTGTTTTCGGCGTCTTTGTTTAGAGTGTATCTAACCTCGAAAAGTTTTCCGCTCAATCTTTATTATTTTAATAGATGTGTGTTTCTGTTTCCCACTACCCAATTCCATTTTGCTTGTTTTAGAGCTATTGCAAAAAAAAGGTTTTATTTTGTTCAATGTTTAAGATTGCTTGGTTATATCAAATTGAGTTGAAAAAAAAAGGTTTTGTGAAACAAGCTGACATTAAATACAATTGGCACAAAAAAAAAAAAAATTGAATTGACTTCAATCATACCTAACACATCGTAAACAAATAGTCCGCTTTCAAAATAAACTTTCAGAACCAATTTCAGTCACCTCTGGGGTACCCCAGGGTTTTCATTTAGGCCCACTTCTTTTTATTTTGTACATAAACGACATTTCCTACATACTTAAAAAAAAATAAAATTGCTTGTATATGCAGACGACATGAAGCTCTAGCGTTGCAGAAGAATTCCATAATGAAATCAATATATTCCACTCCTGGTGTAGTAAAAGTCTACTTCAACTGAACGTAAAAAAAATGTACTGCAATAGCATTTAGCAGAAAAAATGAAACACCGCATATTGAAATATCATTAGGCAACCAAATAGTAGAAAAAAGCAAAATTGTAAGAGATCTAGGTGTAATCCTAGACTCCAAACTAACTTTTATAGAACATTATAATACTATCATTAGTAAAGCAAACAGAATGCTAGGCTTCATCAAAAGGTTCAGTCATAATTTCGAAGACCCATACACTATTAAGCTTTTATATACCACATATGTAAGGCCAATTCTGGAATACTGCCACCTAGTATGGAATCCATACATTTACATACACGAAGAACGCATAGAATCTGTCCAAAAACAATTCCTTTTATATGCTTTACGTAAATTGAATTGGACTGCATTTCCATTACCATCTTATGAAGCGCGCTGCATGCTCATCAATATACAAACACTTAAGGAGCGCCGCCAATTTGCAATGCTTTTCTTCATCAACGACATTATTTCAATGCGCATAGATTCGGCAGAAATTCTCGCACAATTAAACTTTTACACACCTTGTCGATATCTTAGAACACGGAATTTATTTTCAGAAACATCGTACAGAACAAACTATGCAAAAAATAGCCCAATCAATCGAATGATGCGCCTATATAATTTGCATTGCGCAACTATTGACATCACTATGTCCAAGCAGCCAATAAAAACTAAGTTAAAACAGAATAGAATTAATGCATAGTATGTAAGTAAACATTGTAATAATCATTGTATGTAGTCTACACTGGCTTGACGAAATGGAAATAATAAAGAAATAAACCTTAGCTTGATCGAAAACAATATAACGATATACGATATAACAAAAACATTCCCATTAACACACACGTGTGTATCATCTTCAGCATACTTAGTGAAGTAGCTTGCCTACAATTTGGTCATTTTCCTTCTACCGGCCCGATCGAGCTATACTGCAAAGGCAGTTTTTCATGGCAAAATGGGAAGAAGATTACCTCAGTATTGCTTTTCATTGCTGACATAACGTTATCATTCGGCTCGTTGATCGCTTGCCATTTTATCATATTGAGATATTTTTCATTCCTTGGTCAAATCTTCGGAATCAAATGACCGATCGTGATTAAATTTCATTGATTTTCTTTGGAGTATCAGATACAATATGTTGTTACAAAAACGTCAAAAAATCATAAGATTCACACATTTTGGACTTTTGGCCAAATACTCCTATATGAGATCGCCGAAAAACTTCTCCGGACCTTTGATTGAAAATGTGTTTTTTAAGTGATATTATAGCCTTTTGCTATACCTCGGTAAGTTTCGTGATTGCTTATCGTATCCAATTGTAAACATAATGATGAACCTTATGTTAGCACCCATGTTGACAGTAGAATTTAGACTGCAGGACGACTGTTTCGATATGATTGAATCCGTAATTGATGGATGTTTTTTGAGCAGTAAAAAGTGTATGCATCGACAGTTTCAACTTTAAAATAAAAAATCAAACCAGCAGATACCCAATAGAACATGTCCTATTCGGTTGCATTTACATTCCGCTTCGTTTTCCACCTTCGCCAGTTGTTTCAGTAAAACCCTGGATGTTGAGCACCCCGCGGTATTCGACTCCGATAGGAACCTACCCACACCCACCTACTACGGAAACGCGAACACACACCGCGAGCGAAGGAGGCGGATGAGATTTAAATCCAATATTTACTCTCGTGTGTTTTGTTTTTACGTCACCTCCAACCACCCGCGCCATCCTTACCACTATCTATCTTCGTAAACGCGGAACGCGAACAGAATAAATGAAATATTTGTTGTTATGATTTTTTTTTTGCCTCACAGCTTACAGCTCTCTCCCCCATTTTCGGTAAAGTCCAATCCCCCGGGCTTCTCCCTCTCTATTCATTTGTTTGTTAGCACCTCTGCGTCAGCCGTGCATGGAATAAATAGTTTAGTTAGTAACTTCAGTGACGGTACAGAACAGGCTGGAAAAAATATGTAGTCATTTTAATGCACAGGGGTTAAGGAATTTGCTATTTTCGTCTGCCGGAACAGGTTCGCTGGTAATGAGATCTGGGAGTTTTAACGAGCTCTTTAAATTATTTTTATATGAAAAACCGCTTGCTGTGGCAATGACATATTTATCACACAAAAAATCGTTGCCATAAAGATGATAACGAATTATTTCTTCTCAAGGGAGTTGCTAAGACGCAAATTAGAAGATTAGATGCTATTGAGCAAAGCAAAAAGACCCGATGCTGCAGTAAAATACAATCATCCTCCCCGACGGGGAATTGAACCCCGGTCTCCCGCGTGACAGGCGGGGATACTGACCACTATACTATCGAGGACACATGAATGCTTTTGTCCCCCGATTCGGCTACTCTTCGACATTGGCTGCCCATGATTACACGCCCATCCATACAGCTTGCAATTTTACCTGTTATTTGCTACATTTACGCTACAAATCGTATAATTCAAGCTGCTTTTACACGCTTTTACTAATGCATTCTCAATATTAAGCATACACACTAGCTTTTTACGTGGCTCGTCATATGTCATATGTCCGTACTGAACCTCGAAGCTGACAACACCCTCTCAGATTTCAATGAAATTTTCTGAATATGTAGACTTGGACTTAATAAGCACTTTTGCATACCAGTTTTTTTTTCAAAATTTATCTAGACTAACATTTGAGAAGGGCCAAACTTTTACCGCCGATTTTTTTCAAAAAAAAAAAAACTACGGTACATAGGATCTTGGTACATAGGATCTTGGTACATGGACCGACAATCATAAGCCATTGTGGTATTCCGATTGGTTTATTATCTGAAGAGGCGCAAGAGCAGCGGAACAAATCCATCAGAAAATATCGAGAGCACCATTCTCGACAATTCAGTCGTCTTGCAAACATCGAGGACGTATTCCATCCACTTTTGCTGACCTCTGACCTAGTGATGACAATGCAGAAACAGTGTCCTCAAACCAATCAAGAGCCATTTCCAGGACCCGTGCAAATGCTGTTGCAATAATCGACATAGCAAGACATCAGGTAGTTGTAAGAATTAAAAAAAAATATTATGAATCTAGAAATCTCATCAACATTTGTCACACGCACACATGTTCGAGAGTATACATGAAAAAGCTTTGTGCTTACATCAGTACAGCATTCGCCAACGTGCAGCTAGCGAAGCATAAGAGACGTATTCCATCGTTTCCATCGCACGCAGCCAGCAAGCCGTGCATTGGCGAAGGCTAATCTGCCCATAAATGAGAAATTGGCTAATAAGCCATTTTTGTCAAAATCGAGAAAATGGTGTTAGTTGATATGTGGCACTTTTGTCAAGGTCCCCACTGTATACAATTTTGAAAAAAATGATTCGTGCGGATAAACGACTTGAAAAACTAGATGGCTAATGTGCAATATAAATGAGAAATTGTCTAATGTGCATGATTAGTCTGAAACCGAGCGCAGCAACCAGTGTGTTTTTAATAGGGATTTTTTTTTAACATCAAGTAAGATGGTTTTATAGTCAAGTGGTCACAGGCATCAAGTTGAAAATCGGAAGATTCAGGATCAAAACTTGTTTTATGTTAAACTTTTATAATTTTTTTTTTAAATAAATGTTAAAGATTCAGAAATTTTTCGGTTTTACAGCTTATCGCAAGACTCTTTAATTAAATTTATTATGGAAAGAATGTTTTTATTTATTTATAACAGCTTTATTGATGTATAATAAATGGAAAGAGCGAGGGAAATCAAAATGGTAAATGTTACAATATAATCACACATTATTATTATGCTCCTTCATTGGTATTATGATTCTTCATCCGATATGTCATCGTGGGTTGGAAGGTTATACCAGTACATTTTTTTGTCGGGAGGCAACAACGGTAGAATTTTTTGTATTATTCCTTGCTTACGTGTAAGTTCGACTCCTTTTGGTAACATCCGGAAATGCATCGTAGATGAAATGTCGAAATCAGCTGATTGAACTTTCCTGATTTGTTCTCTGGTGAAGAAGTTGCACGATTTTGTTGCTCCAGAAAATTCATTGGCGTACGTAAAATTATACGATCCTCTTGAAAATATGATAAGCTTCACCTCATTAAGTTTCGGTCGAGGTCTCAGCTTGGTTGCCGGTTTGCATGTCATATCACAGGTAAAAAAATCAAATGTCTGCATTTTCACTGCGACGGAATTTTCTTGAGCAGTGTTGACACAAGTATAAAAATCTTCAAATGTATGAACTTCCCCTTTATCAGCTGATTTCATTCGTTTTTCAACAGCATGATGGAACGAATCAGCGGACATAAAGGTGTGTCCCGGTTCAAAATACTTAAATTCAATAACGTTAGTCTCAAGCAACGTTGAATTTACAAGAAGGATCATAAATAAGAACAGATTCCAGTTCTTAT